ACCACACACAACAAAGAGGACGCCTTCTCTCAATCAATCTCTCTGTAATTTTTCTTCAAAGAGGCGTCAGAGAACTCCAGCCACGAGCCTCCCTCTATATATACCTATAGAGCACATCTCAAAACCCTAAAGAAACTTTCCTTCTTTGTAGTTATCCTTTCCTTATTTTTCTCTTCAAATATATTCTCCTTTCCTCCAAGTAAATATATTCTTCTTTCCTCCAGGTAAATATATCTTTYCTTTTTCTAGCCCAAACCRCGCTTGTGCATCTCTAAATTCGAACTCCTCTTCACAAATCACACAGCTCAACTTCTGTATCACTTCCTTGTAGTACAATCGACTGGTACAGGAAAAACTCAAACCAACTCCTCTTCAACAACGTCTTCGTCGGTTTCAGACCTAGACATATGGTTGAAGGAACTTACTGATCCTGAAATAGCTAGAAACAGAGGAATGCAATGTTTCAACGAAGGTCTTTTCACTGAGGCTTTGAAATTATCCGATCGAGCAATAGAGCTTGATCCCGAAAACGCGGCTACCATAGCAATCGATCAGCTGCCTTGTCTAAATTGGGAAAGATTTGGGAAGCTGTCGAAGAGTGTGAAAAAGTCATAGACTTGGATCCAAAACTTGTCGTACCTCATAACAATTTAGCCTTGATATTTCTTGGGTAAACTCAATTATTTGTTTTCTTGAATAGAGAGATAATTTAAAAATCTTGATAATTTTTGAGTCTTTTGATTTGGTTGCAGATTAGGTCAGGTTAATAATGCGAGGAAGCATTCTTTGAAGGATACATCAGATGACAAGTTTTTGGTTATGCTTAAACAAGTAGAAACGCACTTGCACATATGCGCATATGCAAGAAGACGCGATGCATGGGTCGCTGTTTTACAAGAAGCACATGCAGCTATGGTATCTGGAGCTAATTTGTCTCCTCAGGTAAAACAACAAACATTCTTGTATTAAGAATAAGTATCAGATTCAAAACGTTTAAAATCTTTTTATATTTTTCACAAAATCTGCAGCTAGCTATGTGTAAAGTTGAAGCACTACTGAAACTCCAACAGCTTCATGATGCTGAATATGAACTAGCACTTGTCCCCAAAGTAGAACCGTTCCCAGCTTCTTTCTCACAAACTCAGTTTTTCGATATGATCGGTGAAGCTTACATATTTTTTGTCAAATCCCAAGTGTGCTTTGCTCTATCAAGGTGAGATTTTTATAGACCTATTGATTGGTTAAATGTATATTTTTCTGTTGATGGATAAAAAAGAGTAATTAAAGAGTTACATGTTGTAGGTTTGATGATGCAGCTAAAGCTATAGAGAAAACTTCAGAGATTGATCCACATAACACTGAAGTTAAAATCTATAAACAAATTGTGAAACTGATGCAAAGGGCTTTGTCAAACAGCAAGGTACAAATCTCTTATATAGTGTATTTTTTTTCCGGCTTTTTCATTCACTTGTTCTAAAGATTCTTCTTGTGAAATTGTAGCTGGAAAAATGGGCTGAAGCAGTGAGAGATTATGAGATCTTAAGTCAAGCACTACCTTGTGATATATACATTGATAAATATTTGTTTCAAGCTCAAGTTGCGTTGAGGCTTTTTCGCGATGATGTTGAGGAAGTTTCCTTGTCTTGAAGAGTTTAAGAGTTGCATTGGTGTGTCTCGGGAAGTTTTCTTTTAAACTTGTTCTGCCCTTAACAGTTAGAGAAATTTTTCTTATTAACTTCTTGTATACTTTATGGTTGTTCTTATTAAGTGGATTGCTTCTTTTGGTGTTGATGCATCTGAATATGTCGAGTCTCTAGAAATTTTTTTTGTTCTCTTTTCTAGATCTCTCTAGTTGGTTAAAATTGATTTCTCTTTACCAAATCAAGTTTTTTTTCTTTTCTTTTGGTCATCAGAGAATCTATTAAGTAAAAAGTAACAAAGTGATACATAAGATAATCAAAACAAAAACAGAGCATAACACAAGAAAACGAAAAACAGAGAGCTAGTCTTGAACATCTGATCCAGTAAGCACTTCCAATCAATGGCTACTCCAACATCCTTTCCTTTCACCTTCTCGCTTGTTCTTGTACAAAAACCGACTCCATCCAGTGCGGGAAACCTCGAGCTACATATCTAATCACACTTTGAGCAATAACAAACGCACCCTTGTTGGCTAAAGGGTTTTCGCACACTCCAATCTCTGTGATACTCCAAGTTTTCAACCATTTTGTCAATTTTCAAAGCTAAAGCTGGCCATTCTTGAGGTTTAGATATAGCCTTTATCACTTCACTCGTATCTGCCGCAAAAATGACGTTCTTAGAGTGAATATCTGAGAAAGATCGTCTACTATACTGCAATGATCTCGGATAACCCATGAAGCACGTGAAGTGTTGTCTTGCTTAGACCAAGCATAGCCCAACTTGCACTTCATATACCCTTGGTCTGGCGGTTTCCATACACTTCCCCTTTCACTCTCATGTCGATTTACTGCTTCGGATTTACTGATATTTCTATTAAAGCTCCAGATATAACGAACTCTCTTTTTTCCTTATGTTTGGCTTGTCTCTACGGATAAGGTTGATATCCTCTGCACTAAACAGATTGTTTAGGCACATACGGCACCAATCACCAGATCCGATCATTTTCTTCAAGCCCTTGTTTCAGAAGCTCTCTCCCATATATGATGCTTCTCCATCCGCAAGGTGGTCTATCACCCGTAGTGGCATTTAAAAACTCACCATTCTTTGAAATACCGACTCGGAAAGACTCGAGCGAACAAGCTTGATAACTTGATTAAATCTTACCAAATCAAGTTAAATAGAAGGATTTTAATAAATTTGCGTAAATATAATATTCTCTCTGTTTCAATTTAAATTGATGTTTTTGAAATAGAGGGAGTAATTTTCTTGTTTCAATAATAGTCTCCTTCCCATCTCGAGAAAATAATATATTGAGGGGAATATTCGG